ATATATATATATTATATGTTGAATATTTTATTTTGGTTTGTCATTTTAATTATGAAAATAATTATTTTGACATAAACTATTTAAAGTATATTTGTATACTTGTTTAAAAATGATATGGGTATTTTATTTGATTTAAAATTAATTTTTATATTAATTTTTGGTGTCAAATAAAATACACTTTGAACATTTAAGTGGAGAAGAATTTTACAAATCCTTCTCACATGATTTTTCGGCCATGATATCTTTTAAAGGAACAAAAATTTCCTTGATTGATAATTGAGTGAAGCTAACTATTTTGTCATTTTGTTAATGACAAAGTCAAATTAATAATCACTTTTTCTCCTTAAATATACTACACACCATTCCACTTATTTTTGTGAAGTGTGTCATTCGGCCATATCCTTTTAGAGAGAAGAAATATTAGTTTGGTTCCATTAATATCATTTTGTGTATAGAAAATATCTTTAATATTTTCTAAATAGTATTGGAAATATTTTCTATAGAAATATACAAGATTATTATTATCCCAACTTTAATCTTTATATTTTATACTACTATAATCTTTACTAGCATAAAGATTGTGGTAGACTCCGGCGTTGTTCGTGTGTCAAAGTTGGAGACCGGACGCTTGAACGGTTACGTTTGCACTTTCAACGATCTTCCTACGACTTCTTCGTTTTACCGCTTTCGGAGAAAGGTACAAATTTCTTACTACTATAAGTTTTAGTACGTGATTCTGGGCAAGATAATCATGTTAGGATGTTAAAAATTTTATATTCCGCTGCTTATCCTTGCATGGTTACCTTTCATATATAATCCCAAAAAAGAGTCTTCTTTAAGTATATTTCATGTATCCACTGAACCCATAAGATTTTTTTTTTTGTTCGCAAAATCCCAATTCAGTTTCATAATAGTAGCTTTGCAAAGAAACATGTTTCTTATGCCTATCCCTAGATGTGATTCCACTGGACATAAGAATTCTTTTTATACTCAATAGTTGCAATCCATATGAAATTTTTGCAAATTGCATTTATCCTCTTCATAACTTTTTGGGGGAGTATGAAAATTCTTGACAAAAAAGTTACAACACCCATTAGAACTGTATTGATCAAATTAACCCTACCAGCATATGAGATATGCTTAGAGTTCCATGCAGTTATCTTTGCAGTGATTTTATCAACTAACTTGTCACAATCTTTACTTTAGATCCTTGTAGCTGTAATTGGTATTCTCAAGTATGTCAGAGGAATCTCCCCCTTCTATATATTTGTTAGTTTTAGGATGCTTTATGAGCGTTAGAGTCTATCCCATATCGGAAGTTGAATAGAACAGTAATCAGTATATAAGCTCTTAGGTTGAACTAAGTAATCGATAGGATTCAATCTTTTAATGTGGTTCAACCCAAGTGTCTTATAGCCCAGTCCAATTATCTCCACCTAATCCTAAATTCTATTATCTCCAGTAATCGATTGGATTCAATCTTTGCATGTTCCTCTTTAATCTTCTCACATTTTATTTAGAAAACAATTGTAGAGTCATATCAAGTATCTTTCTTATACACAAATTTTATTCACCTAATTTTGAATTTTTTAAACTCTGTAAAAAATAAGAAAATTAAATAGAGATGAAGGTAATGTCCATTAGGTTTGGAATTCCAAAGTTGGATATTGAAAGTAATTGGAAAAAGTTGGGAAATGTTAGAAGAATTATAGTGTTGAAAAATCACTCAATGAAATGATAATCTAAATAAGTATTTAACAAAAATCTAATCTTGGATTAAAAAAATTCATCCTTGTTCATTTTTGAAGTGGTATGTTATAAATTTGGATATATAATGTTATTGTATATTCATCATATATAAATATGTTTTTAAGTCATTGTTGAAAGAAACTGGAAATAGTTAGAATTTAATTTTTCCAACCCAAAAGAACAACGCCAAAGAGAATATTAATTAAAAAAAATTATAATAAACATATAAACTATAATACCTTGTATCAAGATGGGAATGGGAAGAACTCAAACGATTGATAGTACTACTCATACCAACAAGGTGCATCTTCTTTTCGAGAACTCATCACCTAGAAACTCCAAAGTTAAGCGTGCTTGACCTGAAGAAATTCTAGGATGGGTGACCCCCTGGGAAGTTTCCTTGGGCGCGCACGAGTGAGTACAAAGTGTGCGGGAAAGACTTGTGTTGGTTTGTGAGGCCGGTCTACAATCCTATGAGTGGACACTTACGGCTAGGGTGGGGGCCGGGGTGTTACAAATGGTATCAGAGCAACCATGCGACTGTGACGGGCCAAAAAAAGAGCTTAATTCAGCGGGAAAGATCTAAGAGTTTAAAAAAGGATGTAATGAGGACGTTGCATTCCTAAGTAGTATCAAGATGGGAATGGGAATAACTCAAATGATTGATAGTACTACTCATACCAACAAGGTGCATCTTGTTTTCGAGAGCTCACCTAGAAACTCCAAAGTTAAGCGTGCTTGACCTGGAGCAATTCTAGGATGGGTGACCCCTTGGGAAGTTTCCTTGGGCGTGCACGAGTGAGGACAAAGAGCGCTGGAAAGACTTGTGTTGGTTTGTGAGGCCGGTCTACAATCCTATGAGTAGACACTTACGGCTAGAGTGGGGGCCGGGGTGTTACATAAACTTTTAGACTCCTCTCATAATAAAGTGTTAAAGTTAGAGTTAGTGTAGGCTCTAGAGTAGGCCAGGGTGCCCTACAGGGCCATGCCTATTTTTTTGGGTCCAACATTTTTAATTTCTTAATATACATTTTACATATTTTAAATAAAAAAATTGAAATCACCTTAAATAAGACTAAAACATAGAGAGAAGTACTAAAATAGGATTTTCATGTTTTTTCTTCCGAAATAGAACTTTGCACTGTGGTAATGTGACAGTGTACATGTGCACATTACTATATTTTTTAGTAATGTAAATGCTTTTTTAGTCCTATTTCGGGAATAAAAACATGGAAGTCCTATTTTGGTATATTTTATAAATACATTTACATTACCAAACATGGTCATGTACATTACCAAAAAGTATAGTAATGTGCACATGTCCAGTGCCACATTACAACCACATTATCACAGTGTGAAGTCATATTTCGAGGAAAAAAAACATTAAAGTCATATTTTGGTGTTTTTCTCTATATTTTAGTCCTATTTAGAGTGATTTCTAAAATTAAATACATAAGTTTAAGGCAGTTATTACGATATTTAATTTTAATACTATATTTTTAAATGTGTAATACAATAATACTAATTATCATTTTCGAGAAAATTGTTTATATAAATTAATCTATTAGTGTCAAATCCTATTTTTTCTTATTGGCCAAGGTCATCAAATCCTCGAGGCCGACCTTGGTTGGAGTGAGCGGATGATAAGCAGCCTGCACTTAAGATCCTCTGTTTCTGGAAAGTCTTGAGTTTGAGTCACCCTACCAATTTTTTTTTATTTTCACCTATAAATTAGTATGAGAGTTTCACTCTACTTTTGTAGGTGTTATTAATACCGATGCACTCATAAATTTTCAGTCCAAGTTGGATATGATTGAACAAGTCAGGGAAAACTTTACATACAGATTTATAAGTCCAAACAAGAGGTTAGTGTTTTTAGGTGAATTACAATGAGTCGATAGTATACAAAATTTATCTTCCAAAGTCTTTGTATTTTGTATGGTGCTAAGCTCAAGGTCGAGGGAAAAAGGCATTGTAACTTGTAACCATGAAGAAATGAGGACTTCTCCAGTGCCTTGTCAAATCAGAGGGCATGCATGCCCCTCCACTCAATGGATGCCATGTGAATAGATAAACATGAGTCTTAATAAAATTTTCCACTTCATTATAACTTTCACAAATTGCAAATGACCATATCTTTTTGCTCCCTTTAAACTCATCCCAAATCAGTAACTAGGTCTTCCGTTTTTGTGTAATCACTCCCCATTAGCTAGCTTACAGAGTAATTTTGGGAAATTTACCTAAATAATAGTAAAGCATAGTGACTTTCCCAATGTAGTACCATATATTTTTATTTCCCAATGTAGTACCACTAGTCATTTTCCACTTGATATTTTTCCCGCCATTGGACATTATTCAATTACTATTTAGGGAATAAAAAAGTTTAAGTACTACATTAAAAAATGGCATATGTTTTAGTACTATTTAGTGCAAATTTCACTAATTTTTTTATCTCTTCTTTCCCTAGATTTTCTTCGATATGTTCGGCGTTGCGCCCTTGCTTTGCCATCACAGTGCATCGCACCATAAAGACGCCAGAATGCCACCCGCCATCATAGACAAAACCGTCAATCATTTTGTTCCTCTTCGTCAATCACAAAGGTAATAGTCTCCACTCCATTTGTTAATCTTCACTTTTGCTTTAATTCCTGTTTGGAACAATAAACAGATGTTAAACATATAGGAGAGTGTTAGAGTCTATCCCATATCGGAAGTTGAATAGAACAGTAATCAGTATATAAGCTCTTGAGTTGAACTAAGTAATCAATAGGATTCAATCTTTTAATGTGGTTCAAACCAAGTCCAATTATCTCCACCTAATCCTAAATTATATTATCTCCAGGAATCGATTGGATTCAATCTTTGCATGTCCCTCTTTAATCTTCTCACATTTTACCTTCATCTCTATTTTTATGAGAGCGAATTAAACACGAGAGGACACGTCATCGATAACGAAGCATGATGCAGTGTGAAAAGGTTCCTGAAACTCCTCATGTTGTACGCTGGCCCATATGAACAGCCAAAGCATCTCCAGTATAAGGAGAGGCAAATTGCAGTGGAGAGATACACAAACTCGAAACTTTCTCTTTGCGTTCCAACTCTCATTCGTTTTCTGATCAATTCTCCGGTGAATAACTCCACGTTCGTTCCAGTTCGTCGGTGCACAGCTCTACTGCTCTAGACATTGCACATTAGCGGTTTATCTTGAGAGGAGATCGTCCATATTAGCCACTACGGGAGGCGGGCGATACTACCTTGAGGAAAGCTCCGACGAATCTGCTTTCCTTTCTTTTCGTTCAACTTCCAACCACCAGGATTTATTTTTATTTTAATTTTTTAATTTCCTGTTGTAAAATTCGAACATATAATAAGTTCAGATTATTTTTTTCCGCTCTAAACTTGCAATCTATCAACAATCTTAACATAGTATACATGGGTTTTGGATTCGGCATCGTGGGTATCTCCGGCAACGGAATGAGTTCTGAAGCTCCGGAGGGAACTACATCGATCGCCCTGGAAGCTCTAGGGGTCGCTACCATGACCTCTTTCTCGATCCCGAGTTCCATCTTTGGGTCGGCTCCTACCTCTATTCTAGGGTTCGGGACCTCAGGGATGTACTCCTCCGGTTATGTACCAACCAACCTCTTTCTTGGGCCGACATCAGCTACGTTCGTACCAGTGAGCACTTATATGGGACCGACTGCGGGATTCAACACATCGGCCAATCCGTTTGTGGAACCACACTAGACTGCGAGTGGACCTTTTGGTCTCACGCCCAATGAAGTTGGACTGATATCCGTGTCACCAAGCACGGTCAAGATGCCACCAAAGTTTAATGGCACAAACTTCAAAATCTGGCAACAAAAGATGATGCTCTTCCTGACGATTTTGGGCTTTGCTAAGTACCTCAATCAAGATCCTCCTCAGGTGACCGAGGACTGCGACCCCCTTGTGGCAATGTTAAATCACACTTGGTATAACAATAATTACCCGTGTGTGAACTACATCCTAGAGGGGTTAATGGAGACATAGTACCCTATTTATTGCCACACCATACTCGCAAAAGAGCTATGGGAGAGCTTGGACAAGAAATATCAAGCAGAAGATGCCAACACGAAGAAGTTCATCACTGGAAAAATCTTTGACTTCAAAATGATAGATAACAAATTCGTTGTTGCCCAAGCTGAGGAGCTCACAATTATCTTTAATAAGTGCAATGAAGAAAAAGTGTGCGTCACTGTCTCACTGAGGACTTCCAAGTGGCAGCCATTGTACATAAGCTTCCACGGTCATGGGAAGACTTTCGTGCGGACCTAAAGATCAAGAGGACTGAGCTAAATGTAGAGTATTAGCTCCTCACACGCTTAAAGATCTAAGAGGAAGGGCTTGCTAGGAGAAATGGAGGTGCAAAGGCAAATGTTGTTGAGCATCCGTCAGGCTTCTCACATGGTAGTAAAGACAAAAAGAAACTAGGTCCTAAAGGTAGCATTTCCAAGTTCGCAGGGAATGCTACAGTTGTGGCATTATGGGACATCGATCATCCGATTGTAGGAAAAAGAAGCCTCAGAAGAACAAGAAGTAAAATGAGGCTCTTTGGACAGAATTAGACAACTTGGATCTATGTGCAGCTGTCACCGAGGTAAATCTTGTTGGGTCAAACCCAAAGGAATGGTTTGTGGACACAGGAGCCGCACGACATATTTGCTCCAATCGGAGCATGTTCCATTAATTCAAAGAGACCTCAGGTGAAAAAGTGTGGATGGGAAACTTGACCCAATCTGAAGTCCAAGGAATTGCAAGATCAAGCTGAATTTTAAACATGGATTTTAATGATGTTCGAATCAAACAAGCTGATCTTGTCTAAGAAGGGCATTTATATACGATAAGGATATATTTCTAATGGTCTTGTAAAATCAAATGTAATGACTATTAATGAAAAGATCAATAAAATTTTTGTTGCTTATGTGTGTGAGTCTTCATGTTTATGGCATGGTAGACTATCGTTTGTCCTTCTCCTTTGTTGAATTCTCATGGCGACCCTTCTGATCGAAAACAGCAATGCGGGCCGCAGTCGGGAATCGATGCTCTCCCTCGCGATATACCCCTCCAACTATGGAAGTTGCAGCAACTACTTCGATTTCAGCAGCGTCGAAGTACTAGTAGCGTTAAGGCCGAATGCGATTGACGAACCTGGGTAGCAAATTAACCTAGGCATCGCGATTGCCCTCCGACGATTCCCCATATCCTTTGGCGTGCCCTCATCTTCTCTGTCTCTCAATGTCGTGAGTAGAGGAATACAATATCGGCGATTTTGCTTCCAACCTGCGACGGTCATGGGTGGCTGCAACAAAGGGAATTCAGCGTTTAGGCAACAGCACTTGGGAAGTTTCAAGTGGACCCCAGCAACCTATAGCAGCGATGACGAGGTCGGGATGGCCGCGCTGAGTTCCATCCAGTAGCAGGTAGGCGGATGAGCCACCAAGAAAGTACTTGAGACGTCTAGATTACGACAAACAAGTACGGGCACTGGTGGCACGACCTTCGTTAATGCTCGATTTGCAATGTTCTTCATTCGATTGAATCGAAATCAACCAAGGTGAGTATGTGGACATCTAACACTATAATATGCATTTAGGTTTGAAATTTTGTTCATAATTGTTATTGTGATTGATCTATGTGACTTACTAGTGTTATTGTGATTGTGATTTTGAGAATTGTTGTCGTTGAATAAAAAAGGGTGGTATGCATGATTTTGGCATTGATTGACCATGTAATGTGCTTGATATTGTTTGCAATGATCTTTTTTTACGTATTTATGTCTATTGGTGTGAATTTGGTATTGGTTTCATTGTTGTGATTTAAATGGTGCAAGAATTATAATTTTGTTGTGTTAGACGGTAGGCGGTACTACTGGGATGGTACCGCGCTAATGCCGCCCTCTGTTCTTCACGTTTTCCTCTGCTAGTAGCTGTGACCGTTTGGTACCTAGGTACGATTCTGATGGTAGGCCCTACCGCCGAGTCGAGAGTCGGCTACCGTAACAGGTCTACTAGAAGGGTTCAATTGTTACAGAAGGTACCCATGTACCGTAGGATTGTTACCCAGGTACCGTGATAGGTACCGTCCGAGACCTGAGTTCGGGCCTAATCTGTGTTTCCGTCAAGGATTGACTCTGAGAGTTTGTGTGTTGCATGACGGTAAACATGGGTGTTTACACCCCATGTTAGGCCTCTATTTGATCATGTTGGATATATTGTTAAATGCATTGTGGTTTTAGGAATGTTATATTATGAATTATTAATGGTTGATGAATATATTACCTAGAGGAACTCTAGGGAATTACCTTAATGGGTTAGTGGCAAGGTATGCCGCCATAGGTATAGTAGATTAGAGCCATGTTGTACCTGTTGGGTCCAATGGCTATTTGGTTTTTTTGAATTTTAAAAACCAGTGGGTATTCAATTGAGATTTTATAAATCATTTCAAATTTCAGAGTATTCAATTTAGATTTTTAAAATTCCACCAAAATCTAAAAGTATATAACAATCCATTGATTTGAAAAGATTTGTATTATGGGTAGATTTTAATGGATTTAGGAGTCATTTTTCTAAAGAAAAATCCAGTGACAAATCTGTGGCTATTTCCAAAGATTTCAACGGACTTGGGCGAGCATAGATATGAAGGTGATATTCGGCACAAGATTTGGAGCTTTGGTCCGGCGATTTGGTCCCACGTCGATTCCTGTGGAGCTTTGGTCCAATGATTTAGTCCGGCGAGTGCTTCATGGCAATAGTGAGGAGAAAGCGAAGCCGGAGACAACAAAAACCTACCGGCGACCACAAACAAAACTACTCGATGGAGGAAAGAAGAAGAAGAAGAGAGGCAGCAACAGTGAATCTAGATGGCGACGATGGTGGCGGTGGCGGCGTGGGAGCTGAGCCGGCAAAGGAAACAAAGAAGGAGAATAAAAAAGAAGAATAAAGGTAGCAGCAGCTAGGGTTTGTGGGGGAAGTTGGAAAAAGAAAAGAAAAAGAAAAGAAGAGGGAAAGAGAAAATGGAAGCAAGGTCGTGGGGGAAGAAGGGAAAAAGAAAGAAAAAAGAAAAATGAAAAATGAAAAGGGAAAAAATGAAAAAAAAAATCAAAGATAAAAGAAAAGAAAAGGAAAGGAAAAAATATTATGTATCCATAAATTATTGATTACGAATAATCTGTCAAAATCATAAAAAATCCTTCTAAAAAATAAATTAAAATCTACCTAACTCCACGTAGACTTAAGGATGGTTCAGATGTCTGAATGGTTCAGCACTTAATGGTTCAGACTGTTTGTTTCAGCCTCTTAATGGTTCAGATGTCTGAATGATTTAGACATTTGCCTCTGAATGTTTAAGTATTATACAGAGGGTTAAGACCTCTTATCTGAATTGATCAGACATTTGCCTCTGAATAGTTAAGCAATATACTAGGTCTAAATGGTTCAGACCTCTTACTAGTTCAGCACTTACCTATTCAGAAGTTGCCAAACAGCCCCTTAAAATAATCCATTGATTTTATAGAATCCATGAATTCTAAACAATCTATTAGAATCTATTAGAATCTGGATTGAATACACCCCCTTAGAATATGTTATGTGCCAATAAGTGGATAGAATCAGAGGTATAGTAGTAAGCTTTAACCTAGCATAGGTTATGAGGCCTGTAAAAAGATCAAGTCAGGTGATCAAGTAACGAGAAGGTAATATTCTATGTTTCTTAATGTTGAACATTTTTATATGATGTGTGTGATATTATATATGATATGCTTGTGTGCATCATATAATGTGATAGTTATGAATTAGTAGATTCACATAGGTGTATGCATGCACGAACTGTTAGATATTTCCCGCTCAACTTCATTACTGAGTGTTTAGCCTCTTTTTCCCCTTTGTTACACGTAGGTAATCGTGGAAGGGTTGACTTGAATCTATCTTGGAAGACAACATGACGGAGGAGATGTATGGATGCAAGGATATAAGAGATTAATATTTTATTAAATTAAAAAGCTTCCACATAGTTGTATAAACTCCGATGAGTATTTAAATTATTTTTAAATTGTTTGAGTTTTAAATTAAATGATTTAATTACTTGGAAAATATTGTGTGTGGATACCAATTTAGTAGCAACTCGGTTCACTAACCTATTTATTTGGGTTACGTGGATTGAGATCTTACAGGTCAATTTCAGGACTACTTTTATAAGACAAATCTTCATCCTCGTAATTTTTAAATCTTCCATCACTCGTTTTCATAAATGAGTCATAATTATATTTGCCCATCTAGATAATAATGACACAAGAAGAAATAATTTTCTCTCTCCTCTACGCTGATCTACTTTCTCCCGTTGTAGCCTGTAACGGCTCTTCCTCGAGGTAGTCGCCAGCGCATCAGTCCTCAGCGTTCGTCCTCCCTACCGGCAGTGTAGACGGTCATCGGACGGCGGCAGGCGGCGACAGACGACGGCTAGGAGCACAGGTAAGTACACACCCAGATCAAGACCTAACCCTCCCAAATCCGACCCAGATGCGACCCTAGACGCACACCCCTGCCGGTCACCGCCGACCCCCCCCCCCTTACCCCAGACCCGGAACCCAGCCACCCCCTCGCCGTCG